GTGCATGTGCGATTTTGGCAGGCATTTGCCAGGGAGCTAGCTGAACTGGGAGGTGTCAAACTGGGTTCAGGCTAAAAGGAAAAAAGCCTGTCATTTTAGCCTTTAATACGACAGGAGAGTAACAAACATGACAGGATACCTGTCGTGTAAACACGTAAACATCTGTTAGAGGCTGAGGAACCTCAGGAACCAGAGGCTGGGGAACCAGAGGAACTGGTTGTTTCCTTGTATATACGGACTGCTCACTTTAACTATATGCTCAGTGCGGGCAAAAGGACAGACAGTTCGGTTCTCTTACCCTTTTAGTCACCATTGCTTGCCATAGGGAAAAAAAGACCTTGTGATTGAGAAACTGGCTAGGGGTTGAGACAGTCTGGGTTCAGTTCCTGGTTCCCCCTCAGGGGTTGCATGTGACAGGATTAGATGGTAGTATCCTTGCTCACAGTGACAGGTAATTTCACTGGCAGAAACAGGAAATAAACAAGTACTGAACAGTAATTCAGTATAAGCAAGGCTGATCGTGTGTGGAAGGAGGTGCTGGAATACTTATTTGGTATACCCAAAACCACACTTGGCCCCAGATGAACCCACGTAAATCAAAAGTGTAAAGAGTGATATTAAAGACAAGCCCTTTGGCTCTCTATATACTTCAGGTCTTCATTTGCAAAATAAGAGTAACATATTGATTTGAATAATAATCACTCATTCTATCTTGTCAGTTTGGACTGTAAACTCTCATAGCCCTGAAGTTCTGATTTCTGCTGGGATATCTAAGCAATGCTGCCATATAGATAAATAAAAAACAGCCCTTAAGTGTTTCCTCAAGCCTCTGAATTTGCTAGGAATTATATTTTAAGAAGAGCCAAGATTAGCCTTTTGCTGGGAATTGCGGAGTTTTCAGTCCAGTATAGTAACTACAAGAAAGTCTGAGAGGTAACTTTCAGGTCCCTGATTCATTTGAATAGTAATAAAATAAAGAGGGAGTAAGGGATTTTACTCACTTGTGCTTACCAACAGGGACCATCACAAGAACTGTGGAAGTAAAATTGTCAGTGATGTAGCTGCAGTCCAGAGTGAAAGCGCCTGAGATGTCAGCAGAAAGATCTTTCCTCCAAACTTTCCAACCTGTCTCCCCAAAACTGGGAGGTTCCGATGATTCGGTTAACATTGCAGGAAACAGCTGCTTTGGGGGCAGGACTGTCAATTCCCCTAACCTTGCAAAGTGTGAGCATCTCCCAGTCAACTCCCTGAGTTCTTGTGTCCCCTGGGGAGAAAAGTCAAAGAAGTCCTTCACGACCTTTGTTTAAGTTGAATCTAGATGCTAAATTCTGGATATTTATTTATTTATTTATTTATTTTTATTAACAGACAGAAATAAGCTCTCCTTTCCTCACTGGAAAAATTCTAAGGCTTCAGAGTATTATTCATGATAATTCCTATAATTTTATTTGGATCTCATCAGAATTGTTAGCAAATTTACAGAACTCTACTTCACACATAATGGTAAACAAATGTTTTTTGTCCTTAGACTAATGAAACTTGCTCTCTACACTATATCCATTAAAGTTTAAACAAACACCCTTTGGCACACTGCAAGCACTTTTACCTGCAGAATAATAACACTCCCTCTGTTTAAAGGTTGCCATCTAGGAGTTCATTGATTAGTAGGAAAAAAGTGTGACAAGATTTTCAAGGAGGGAGTGGATATTGAACGGACCTCATATTTTGCAAGGGGCTCAGATTTTTCTTTCTCTTTAAGGAACAGCTTCCTGTGAAAAATGGAAATGAAATCACCATGATGTGCCTTTACACAAATACATTTGTTTTGCTCTTACTAATTCCTCTGCTAAATCCAGTGTCCTTGAAGCTAGGCATACGGCTCTGAGAAGTTTTGTGTTAATCACTCATTTCATAATGCCAGAGATGTTTTCCTTTTCACCTTATTGTCTTTCCTTCATCCCTTTTTTTACTAAACCTCCAAGTACATTTGGGACTGGCTATCCCAATAATGCTTCATGGTCTCCTGAGATATGGCCTATTTGTTTGCCTAGAAGTCATTTAGACTAACTCACAGGTGAGCACTCATTAGGCTGCAGGTATTATACTGACCTACTGGCACCAACATAAGGTGCTAATTTTTCATCTTTTTGAATAGTTGGACTTCATTAAATTCCTAACAGAAAGCAATTTGTTTTTGCTTCTACAGAAAGGTCCTCTTGAGAGTTTAGGGCACGTCCTTTCTTGGTTAAACTGTGTACGGTCCTTTTATACTCTTTTGTGGCTAACTGACATATACATAACTCAGGGACACATATTTCAGCAATACATGCACAGGAACTCTCCAAAAATCATTCAAACATTCATTAAATGTAAAGCCAAAAAGGACCATTTGAATGTTTAGCCATTGTATCACAGGACATTACATTTCACTTTGACATGGAGCCTAAAGACTTGTTTCTAACAAAAGCATAGCTTCTACAAAGGAATCAAATTCTGATGAACATACTAAACAGTGGAAAATCCACCTCTCCTGTGAATAATCCGTTCTAATGAAAGTCACTGTTAAAAACGTATGGCTTATTTTTCAAATGAATTTGCCTTCTGCTTCCAGGCATTGACTCTTGACGAGCCCTTTAGAAAACAATATTTTTTCTTCATTTTTATACCTTGCCACCAAGTCACTTTTCTGTCTTCTCTTTGATAAAACAAATAGACTGAGCTTGGTGAGTTTTTCTCTGTAAAGTATTTTCTCTACATCTCTCATCATTTTTGCGGCTCAGTATCATTGTCTCTAATTTCTCAACAATTTTTTAAAAATGAAGGTGCCAGAACTAGAGGCATTATTGTAGCATTAATCTCATTCTAGCTTGGGGAAAAAAAAAATTATTTCCTCATTTCTCATCAGTGATCTCCTGTGCACATGTCCCCAGACTGCATTTTTTGGCATGTTGTGAAAGTAGCTTTGGAATTAGGATTTTAAAACCTTTAAACCTATAGAAGGATCCTAGTCAATGACATTTCTCCCTGAACATTTACTCCTTGAGATCTATCCTCTAGCCAGTGCTTAATCCCATTTCACATAGGCCAGTTTTTTAAATGAGGGTTCTATGCAGTGCTAAGCCAAATATCTTTCAAAAGTCTATACAGCTATCCTGATAAACCAAAAACTAAATTAAAGTTGAAGAGTAACACCAGATTAGTTTCACAAGACATCTTTGCAATAAAATCATATCGTTTGGCATTCATATATCTTATCATGTAACTTTTATTTCTTTATAGATTTTATCTTTCATCAGATTTTCTGCTGTTTCACCTTGTATTGATAGCAGGTTAACCACCCGCTTTGTAATCTACGTTATCCCTCTTGGATTTTGAGTATCATCATAAATCCAGTATTTTTTTACACATCTGTCTTTTCCCTGGGTCTCCATGACGCATTCCTAGCCAGCTCTTTTGGAGGTCTTGGAAAAGTTCTGCTATTTTTTAAATGTATATCTATAATAGGCACCATCATCTTCCTAAGTCACTAATGATTGGATAGTAATTCATGGCACTAATGCAGAGAAGCACTTCATCCTGCTTCTTTCCAAATTCTCCAAAGCCCAATTGCCTTTAGCTGTTAGAAAAGCTGTCATATACTTTATATGACATCACAATGCACATTTTGCCCAAATACTTTTTCACATGGTTCTTTTTGTCAGTAGTGTTAGTGGACAAATGCAGAGTTCAATGGCTGTCATGATCACTGTTCACTTTCCCGTATGAGAGGCAAGGGTCTTGTGTTACTGTTTATTAACTTAAGTTTATTAACTAAGAACATCTTTTATCAAACACTGACTTCCTCACACTTGGAAAAGAGAAATTATACACAGTGTGACCTGAACTTCTCTAAACTCAGACCTCTATATCCCACATTCCACTTACAAGAGGAAGGAAATGAACTAAGTGACCACAGACTTTCTCTTCCTTTAGGTGAGGCCCCTATTTGAAATCCTGGGTGGTACTCATGCTTCCTGACTTCATGCATCTGGTCAATTCTAGTCCAAGGACTATCTCTGTAGACTTTCTGTATGAAGATGCTAGTTCCTCTACAAGGCAGCTGTGACAACCAACCACAGGCTCCTCAGCTAAGGCCACCCCGGAGGACTCTGTCTTTCTCCCTTGGCTATACAGGGAACCAGGAAACAGACCTACTAATTTAACTCCCTGTGCAGTTCATTCATTTCCAAACACGTAGTTTCATGAACATCAGATGCTTCCTTTCCCACAGGTGTGCATTTGCAGGCTGATCAACTTCCAGGAACAATAAAGGGCAAACTGCAGGCATGCAGGTGGCCATGGGAGAGGAGTCTGTAGGGAATCCCTCCCCTCTTTGCTATCTGATAAGGTGGGAACTTACACTGCAGCCTCTCTCCGCTGAGACACCTACCATATCTCTCTGCTCTATTGCAACACCAGTTTTTACAGTAGTTGGAGGGGCTTCATTATCTCTGAGACTTCTGTCCCTCAGTCAAATGTGATGGGAAAACACAGGAGGTTCAAAGTTATTAGTAACTTATACACACATATATGCACGCAAGGTATAGCACTGTCAGTTTTACTACACATGGAACAACTCAGAGTGCTATTGGTCAAGGGATTGAGAGCCGCCATATAAGAAGAGACCCAAGATTTTGGCTCGTTATGCATTGAAAAAAGAGAGTCTGAAAGAAAATGCAGTTGCATTTAATAATACATTCTGGGAGGTGGGCCAGTATGTGTTAAGGATAAAAGCTAGTCAAGGTAAGGAGCAATATTAGCACCAGAATGAATAGGTATATATTACCAGAAGTAAATGTTGACTGAAGTCACCGATGTGACACGGTGCCTCGCAATAAGTATCATGGCCCTGGACTTGGTACTCAGCAATTCCTCTCAGTGCAAAGTCCTATGTTTTATATTTCTACACAAAACCCCATTTTTGACAGTTATCCCTCCTTATACCAATTTCTGTTACTTACAGTGGATGTTTCAATAGCCATTAACGTTTGGATGCTTCCTCTCCCCTGCACAGTCCTGAGTAAAAGATGAGATAAATTTTCAGAATTTCTGCTTTTGTCTGAGCTCTACTAGTAAGTCACTCGAGGCCTGCTTTTGTTTTAGGGTAAGTTTGGAGGTGTTCTTTGGGCATCCCTCTCCAGTGAGAGGAGAGCAATGCCTTTGAAGAAATCACTTTAGTCTTAGAGCAGGACTGATTTTTGCCACTTTATTTATCAACTGAAATAAAAAGTGTTTGGGTAGAAGAACATTTGTGGTTAAAAATACTAGAGAGCACACAACAACCTGCCTGTACGCTTATACAGCATGTGTCTTTAAAGGATTTCTTTGGGGAGGGAATCAGGATTGCTTTTCACTTTATTTACTTTTATTTGTTTGTTTATTTTTTTTCTTGTTAGACCAAAAATATTTTTCCTAACATTTGGATAATCATGATTACTGCAGTAACACCTGTGACAGCTGTAACACCCATCTGAGAACAAAACAGACAGAAGGTGGAAATAATATGAAACTACTGTCACGAATATAAAGAAACATAGAGGAGAGTTCCTCTCAGCTAGACAAGTGAAATGAGCAAATAAATATTTAGTACTTAGACATGTAGTACTCTTCATGCATATTAGAAGTGACCTTTCTCCCTCCAAAGCTGTACCTTTTCTCACAGTACTCATCAACATCTTATACTAATGCAATTAAATGTGTGGACATCCAGAAGGCAATATCAAAAATAATAGCCAAAATAAAATAAAATGGCATTATAAGCAAACAGGAGGAAACAGTCAGGTTTGAAATACATTTCTCTCTTGCTAACCTAAACAGGGCAAAAAACTCAACATATCAAAAGGGAGAGCACTTAACAGCTCTCAATGAGACACAAAACAAAACTAGATTATCACAAAGCTGTTTATCATTAGTATATAGGAAGGAAGACACTTCATTTTTCCTCCTGAAAAGTTGTTGCTTGAGAGAACTTTGCAGGCAGATTTAAACCTTCTGTAATAAATACGTCACTCTTAACTGATCATTGACTAATTTCCTACTATAATTCTTGGTCCATACCTCACTTGTAAGCTCCTGGCTGCAAATATTACAGATTTGAGGAGTTTTGATGAAAAACAACCCCCCAGTGCAAATAAGAAGACCAAAGCTCTTAAAATAAAATCACTCTTAAAAATATCATTCTGATATGAGTGCTTGCAGTTTCAAAGGTTTTAATTTTATACTATTTCGCCTCCACATTTATTTTTTCAGATATCCACAAAGGATGAAAATTATCCCATTGCAGTGATCAAGATGAGCCTGCATGCAGCAGTGACATGTACAATAAGTGTGCCAGCACTTTGCACAGACTAGAAACATGACAGAATAGCAGCATACTGGCACTTTTTTTTTTTTCCAAACAGATAATTGCAGATATTCATAGTGGTACCCCTGAAGACCTGTTTCAACCAGTGCCTGTGTGCAAAAGTCAGTCTGAGGTCTTTACCTCACTAGCCCCATTTGATGGCTGCAGCAATGCAAAGGCTTCGTAGTATCCTTTGTATGGCTGAACTTCACTTTCAAAGCAAAGAACACAATAAGGACATATAGCACCACTTTTTATCTCAAAGTAACAATTATGCAGTAAGTTACAAGATATTAAGGCTGTCTCATAGATCTGAATACATCTGAGATGTCTTTGGTATCTCTTGTCTTCTGCCTGTAACAAGAACATCTTGGCTGTTATTGCTACTTTTCATAAAGCACCTTATTTCCAAGGTGTGAAAATCCCCATATGTCAAAGACTTTCATTCTTGTGTCTCACAAATGTAGTCAGTCCATCATGGCTTTTTAATTTAATGGCAATAGCCTTAATTAGATCAGATCAGCTAGAAAATTCAGCTCTAATTTTCATTAACTTCATTTTCATTCATAGAAAGCTCATTCAATCAGCAGCTAGAAAATTAAGCTACCGTGAAATAAACATGTTAACACAGTGCGAAAACTCTTGCTTACAAACTGCATCTAGCCCTGCTTTTTTCTTGGACTCAGCCTACAGCCTGCCTTCATTTGCCCCTGCTTTCACTTGACAAGACTGTGAAGCACCGCAATAGCAAGTGTCAAAGGCCTGGAATATTCACTAACGCTCCCAGGCAGCCAAGATCTTGAAGCTCCATAAACGATGTTCTGTAAGGTGAACACATAAATGAAGGCTACAAAAACAACACAGCTCAGCAGCGGAGTGATGGCTTGCAAATTTACCGCACATGTTGACATTTGTTTTGGCCATCAAGGCGTTTTCATCCAGTTAGGCGTATAGCTATTCATAGATATTTAAGACCAGAAAGGATTGCTCTTCCCATTTAGTTAACGCCTACAATGTAGATGAGGTCAGGGGGGTCTCATACAGCAATTTCTGCATCAAGGCTCTAACTTCCAAATATCGTCTAGCTATAACACACAATTTAGAAAGACACCTAGCTCTGTTTAAAGACTTCAAATGGGGGACATCCATCTACCATGGACCAAACTAAGATGTTCAAATATGTAAGTAAAATACTACTCTGCATACACTCCTTCCTCCTTGGAGAGAGGCTGAGAAAAATACTTAACCATAGGTAATTCATATGATTTGCCTTGCTTAATATGAAGGCAACGCGTTGGCCACTGGGCAATCCTGTGAACAGACACACAGCAAGCTCCAAAAGAAAAGCTGAGAAGTGATGTGTGCGAGTGCAACACACTCTTGGGGTTAGGCTTTCTGCTATCTGTGTAAGTCTATGAGATACCTCAGATATCTGTACAGTCTGTACAGTGAAGCACTGTGCTGTGTAGACAGATGTACTCTGAGGTAAGAATAGCATGAGATCTAATAGCAATGTAGAACTAAAATCTACTGACATGGTCAAAAGATGTTATCTTACTTATAACTTCTAATTTGCCTAATACCCACAATTTCTGTTTCTTTCTTTTCCTGAGACAATGTATACTGACATTCAGTGCTCAGTCATTCCTTTCTCAATAGGCAGGATTATTACCAGTCTTTTCTTCCCCTATATACAGGGTTTTCTTCATGTCTTTGAAAGTTGTTCACCTGTTCAAACATAAATGGACGGAATATTGAACACTGTAGCACAAGACATGAAAGTTGCTAATATATTTTCCACTTTCACGCATCCCCCACCGCCTTCCTAAATCTTGCATTCAGCACCTTACAGGTAGCAGAATTTAATTATTGAAACACATCAATCATTGTTTTTAGGTCCATTGTGAAAAGCAAATTAGATTTCCTTGTTTATTGCAAAGGCCTTTCCTTTGTTTTGTAACAGAAATGACATAGCACATGCATGAAAAGCGCAGATATAGAAAAGACAAAGGAGAAGAATTGCATTGTGAGCACAAAGGGCATATTTATACTGACAGGCACAAGAACACCTCTAGAATCAGAACTTTATCGTCCTGCTAAATAAAGGCATGTTAGTTAGCACATAGGTCAACAGCCGTTAAATGTAGCCTAGCAACACTCGTGTAAAACAATCACAGAATCACACAGAATCACAGAATCGTTTAGGTTGCAAGGGACCTCTGGAGATCATCTAGTCCAACCTCCCTGTTCAAGCAGGGACCTCTAGAGCATATTGCCCAGGATCACATCCAGACGGGTTTTGAATATCTCCAGCGAAGGAGACTCCACTACATCTCTGGGCAACCTGGGCTCTGTCACCCTGACAGTGAAGTTTTTTCTCAGGTTTAGGTGGAACTTCCTGTGGTTCAGTTTGTGCCCGTTGCCTCTTGTCCTGTTGCTGGGCACCACGGAGAAGAGGC